ACTCACTAGTTTTTAAGACCCCAGACGCCACTCATCAAAGTAGGATGCAGAACATTTTCTTAATAAACTTTGTTATGCCAGTTGACCTAGATGTCCCCTGAAACCATGGTCCCCAGACCACCACCCCTACTGCTCTGACCCTCAGAGTATTTGGTTATATTCAGGAAACTTTGAACTGCCTCTTTCTTGGTAAAGACTTCTCTGTGGATGTCAAAGGGGAGAGAGACCAGGATTTTTTACGGTGGTGCATCTCAACCTTTAACGTGCACACATCTCGGGATCTTGATAAAACGCAGAGCCTGATTCAGCAGGACTGGGCTGGGGCCTGAGAGTCTGCATTTCTAACAAGCTGACAGGTGATGCAATGCTGCTGGTCCGTGAGCCACACCCGTGCCAGCCAGATCCTAGGGTATCCCCTTTGTCTTCACAGACACACGTCAGACTCCTCAGATGCTTCCTCCTGACTTCAGACTCAGAAGTGTCCCTCAGGCCAAGCTGGGCTACTCCCTGGAGACAGGGCATGACTTACGACAAATCATCAGCTGCCCTCCCCATGGACAGCCCTGAGGTGACTTACACTGAAGGGGAAGGACAAGGAGAGGCAGAGATCAAGAATGGGCAGGAGGGAGGCTCGCAGAAAGGCGGTCAGTTCCTTCCAGCAGCAGCAGACGGCTTCCTCCAGGCCAGGCAGACGGAGCTGTTCCTCCTAGTCTGCCTGCCAGGGCTCTGATGGACCGAAGCAAGAGGCCTATTTCCTCAACAGGCCTCTGAATAACTAGGGCACTTCCACAAGGTCACAGTTATTCATTTAAATTCCAGTTCTAATCAGCAGGCAGAGCCTGAGAAATTATCCCTTCTGAGGAGAGAGGCTGTCATTGGAGGCCATAAACAGCCCCACCTGGCTAGGAGGAGAAGGAGATGGGGGGAGGGGTCTCACACCCACAGGCCCCAGCCTCTAAATCCTTCACCACTTCGCTCTCCTCCTTCTTGCCTCTAAAGGGCTTTATCTCCCCTTGGCAGAGAGCTCTGGAACTCGCCAGAAGGGCAGGGTAGTGAACCACAAGCTGAGATTGCCCACCCTGGCCCACAAACAGCCCAGGGAGACAATGACAAATCCCAGTGGGCCCAAAGTGTGGGATAAGGCACCTGCTAGGAGTCCCTTCCGGGAAGCAACTGGTTACCTGGCCTTGGAGATGTCCCCTCCCCTCTCTGAGCCTCAGTTTCCTCATCTGAAGATTAAGAGTTGGACTTTTTGGACAGAATACCCTTTTAATTCCACACGTCTGGGGACCCCACAGAGTCACAATGCCCCTGGTGTTTGTGGCCACATTTTTTGTTCAATAAATATTGAGGATCTACTGTGTGCCACGCGCTGTGGGTAGACGTGGGAATTTCAGACACGGTCCTGGCCCTCAGCTCTGCCTTGGAAATCGTAGGTTGTAAAGAAAAAGAGCACAACCGCTGGAGTCACACCGACCTGAGGTTAGGTCCTGGTGTTGTCACTAGCAGCTAGGTGGCTCTGGGCAAGTTACCGAACCTCCTTGAGGCTCCTTTGTATCATCTGCAATAAGGACCATGATAGTTACCTGGAGGTGCAGACGTGAAGAGTTAAATAAGAGAAGGCTTGGAAGGTCCCAGAGCTGAGCCACAGTCTGCATATGTGTCAATGTTGTTGTTACTTTTATTATTCTGAACCTCGTTCCCAAAGCTTAAGAGGAGAGGCTGTGGGTTTTCTGTGTAGAAGTCCGGTAAAAATCGCTTACCTCTTCTCTCCTGGGTGAACCCTCTCTCTGAGTCCTCAGCCTATCTCCTGGACCCTAGGAGAAGTGTTGCCTGCCAGGCTCCATCTCAGATTGCCTTTTCCAGTATGATTACTGCTAACCAATCTCCTCCACATGTAAAATTAATCAGTTAGTTAATCGTCGCTTTCTAGTCTTCAAGCAGTCTCTGGGTAAATAGTTACATTAGCCCATGAAATCCCCAATTTGTCTTTCTGAGGGGGAAGGAGAAAAAATCAGAGAACCACTAAAGGCTTCTTGTTTCAGAGCCACAGAGCTTCTGGCTCCAGATCACCTGGCCAGGTGCGCAGAGGCGGGTGGCTGCCCGCCGACCTCAGCCAGGGCCGGCTCGCTCAGGCTGCCTCCTGCCACATCCATCCACAAGGGAAGGGCCCGAAGCAGTGATTTGCTGAAGGCTCAGAAACCACAAAAAAGCAAGGAGTTGGTGTCATGAAGGAATTGGAAACCAGCCTTTTAAACCTCAAAACGCAAAACCAACAGTGCATGATTTGGGACTAGGGTGGATTCCCCTTTTAGCCCTGCCACTTCATAGGTGGATGACCTTAGGCACAGCTCTTAACCTCCCAGGGCCCCACTTTCCTCAGCAGTTAAAGGGCCTCACGCTACACACCTCAGAGTGTTATTAAGAGAATAAAATGAGGTAATGGCGGTGAAATTGGAATGGTGCTGTGTCAGGCTATAGTTACTGTTATCTGAGGAAGGTCATCCAGAGACCTCTACCCCTCTGAAGAGACACAAAGCAGAGCATATGGACCCACTGCATTTCACACCACCATACTTTCTCACCCAGGGCCACAGCTAGCCAATATGGCGCCTTTGTGAGAAGTAAGAAAAGACGCCCATCTGGTTGGATGCAGGCCCCTGGCACAGGAATGAAGGCTGGATTTTAGTCCCCATGCATTCCCTCAGCTGGGAGCCCCTGTGCAGAGTACAATGTGCACAGCTCTACATGGTGACCCTGGTCACATTTCACATAAACCAGGGGAACAGTGGTTAAGTAAAGGAGCACTTTAAAAAAAAAAAAAAAAAAAAACTTGAGGTGTTATGCTTACTCCCTCATCTCCTTCAGGAACTGGAGCAAAGAGAGAGGTCTTTCCTGACCACCCTCTATAAATGATTAACTTTCCACACTCCCTATCTCCTTTGCCACATTTCATTTTTCTCTACAGCACTTACCACCACCACTTGAGACAATATATACTTATAATGATAAACAAACGTTGTGTGTGGGTGAGGGTGTGTGTGTGTGTGCGTTTACAAGCAGGAGACCCAGGTTAGAGTCCTAGCTGATGCACCCATCTATCAGTGGAGGCTTGAGTGTTGCCATGATGTCATTGAACGTGTTTCAGCAGAACTTCCAGACTAAGACAGACTAGGAAGAAAGGCCTGGCTATCTCCTTCCAAAAATTCAGCCATTGAAAACCATATGAATCACCTGAGTCAGGTGTCAATTCTACAGCCATTAACAACAACTACATATGTGTGTGTGTGTGTATAATATTATTTAATATATTAGTCTATTATCTGTCCCCCTCCACTAGAATAAAGTAAAATGTCCACAAGGGCAGTGACTGTGTCCTGTTCACTGCTTTATCCTCAGTGCCTAGAACAGTGCCTGGAATATAGTAGATTCTCAGTAAATGTTTGTTGGGTGAACGATTGAAATAAAATATTATTAAACATAAGAAATGTATTTAACAGTGTCTTCCTAGGAAATACTGTGATATGCTTTGGTTCCAAAGCCAGTTATTTTCAAGTGGGGAGGCAGAAATAAAACAGAGACAAGAGAATGCTCCTATATTAACTAGGGGAAACTGATTATTCTCTTACGTTGTATAATACTCCGTAGAGATCAATGATCAGAAGAACCCTACTCAAGTCTGGTTGATTATTTCAGATAATGAAAAATGAGAAAGATGCATCCATTTGAAAAGAGGATTGCTAGTAAAGAAAATGTCACATTACATCTAAGCAAAATAAACAAACAATAGTCCCATTAGGAAATACTTACAAGGTCTTCAATAGTTGAGACTTTTCAGTTATGGGACCCAGCATGTTCCAATGGAGTGGGCATGGGCTCAGGAAACAGGAAGTCCTAAGTGCAAATTCCAGTGCTACCACTGACTAGTTCCATGACCTTAAGCAAACTGTGAACCCGTCAGGCCTTAAGCTTCCCTCATATTAAAATGAAGATAACAATATCTACACCTTGCATTTATGGTATAAGGACTAAATGTTGAAGGGACTGAACAAGAAAACATGTGAAAGTACCTAAGAAAGACGATGCTGTCTTCCTACTTGGTAGGATTAATTATTCTTCCTAACTCAAAGTTCTAGAGAGTTTAGAATGGTCTCCAAACTTGGTCCAGCATTATCCAACACTTCTTATCTGCAAATGATTGGGTCATCTCATATGCATCAGTCTCTCTCAATCTGTCTACCTATGTACATTATATATATACATTTATATGTGTGTATACATCTATGTGTGTACATATACACACATATGTGTCTATATGTACATAAATGCATACATAAACATGTACAAAATGCTTAAAATGAGAACTCAAGCATGTATTTTAAAAAGAGAAACGTACAGTTATTATGTTTCTTCTGTTTTGTCCATTGACAAAAACCATTCCTCTACTTTCCTTTTTTACAGTGAGCATGTATTATTTACATAACCAGGGGGAGGTGAGCCAATATTGCTAATCTCACTGTGGAAAAAAAGACATTTCCTGAAATAAAAAGAAAGAAACCTTTCTTTTTCCAAATGATATTTTCCATACTAAGTATGTTGTATCTCCAACTTTCAAACACACCAAGCTACAGAAGGTAAGACTTATGGAAGACGGAGCAACAGTGCTCATTAAGTTGGAGGATAGACATCTTGAGAACATTTCAAAAAATATTTTCAAAAAATGTTTATTTCCCATTTCCTTAATTTACCCAGAAACATTACTCAAAAGGAAGTGACTGTTTAAGTATGGGAACCACATTCCTTTGGTTTTAAAATGGTTCTTTGAAACCAATGCGAATCCATCAATTCAAGGCATTTCTTCATCTAAACCTAAGTGTAATATACTCAGATAACGCCCTGTTATAATCCCCAGCAAAAGGCTTCACTCAGAGTCACTCAAACCATGCACAGTTTAACAGAGGGGAAATTTCCATGGCAGCTGTGCAAACACAAAGACTTACCTGGACCTTGACTGACATCTGTGGCAGCATTTTCAAAGGGAGGGAAAGGGAGAGGAGAGAGAAGGGGAGAAAAAGAAAGAAGAGTGTTAGCAGCACACACACACATTGAAATATGCCCTTGCATGACTATCAAGTTCATGCAAGACCCAAAAGTGATCAGCTTCTGAGCACTTAGCTCTACCTTCACCCAAAACCACCCATGCAAGTTGAGGAGACAAGCTCCCTTTTCACTGTGCATGTAGCAAGAGAGCTGAGTTTCACATCTGTCCGGAGAGACATCACCCTGGAATCAGATAGGGCTCCAAAGAGCCAAGCAGACTGGAATCCTGCAAGAATATTGGTTAAAATATTCTGGTTGATTTCTGCACACCGACACCAAAGCAAATCTTTCTCCCCTCCAGGTACCACAAGGAAGTCAAACAAGGTTTCCCAGCAGAAAGAAAAAAAGAAGAAGAAACCGCTCGCTTGAAGAACAGGAGAAAGAGGCATAAGAATTGAGAAGAAGTTGCAGCATTATTCACCACATAGTACTGAGGGAGAACAAGATCACAAAATATTCATAATCTGCTCCCCTTCCCAGGATTCCCAGTGACCGTTCTTCATCACAGACAGCTGTCTATGTGCACAAGCTTGCGCGTGAGTTGATAATTCACATTACAAATTGAAATTCTGCTTCCCCCTTTAATTTTCACCTCATCATTAATGACAGGAATTGCCATTTGAAATCACTTTTGACAAATACAAATAAACACCTAACCCTGGGAGGGCTGACGTTTGAATTAAGCCAATGAACCTTCAGAAAATGAAGAACTGTTCACTCCCATCATCTCCATGAACAATACAATCTCCTCCCTCTATCCTCAAATGTGAAATAGAATTGTTCTGGGGAAGCTTAACCAAGAGCAGCCCAAGGCATTGTTAAAACCCTAAGACCCTACCTGTCAGTAGTCCATGGTATATACTATAGCAGAGGAGAAGGAACAAGAGGTGGTCAGGAAACCATCCAGACAATCCTGGGGACTCACATAGAATCATTTAATGGTGGATCTGGGGTAGTTATAGACATTTGTTGTTGTTGTTAGGTGCCATCAAGTCATTTTCTACTTAGAGCAAACCCTTGTGACAGAGTAGAAGTGCCCCATAGGGTTTTCTTAGTTGCAATCTTTACAGAAGCAGATGGTCAGGTTTTTCTCTTGCAGAACTGATGGGTGGTTCAAACCACCAACCTTTTCGTTAGCAGTCGAGCACTTAATTGTTTGCACCAGCAGGGCTCCTTGATATAGATATTATCTAGTTTAATTCATTTTTGTTAAGATGGAGGATGAAAGAGTTTAAGAGATCTACCCAAGGTCACACAGCTAGTTCAGAGACAAGAGTCTGGAGAAGATCCTAGATCTCTTGAATCCCACCCAGTTCAATGTTCATTCAACTGAAACCCAGACTCTTAGAGGCATTTGGGACCCTAATTCAGTTTGCAGGCCAAAGTGAGCACCCTGAAGCCATGGAGGAGAGGGTGAGAGTCTCCCAGTCCCCCCACCCCAGGAGTGGGTGATGGTTTATCCTCTGTGTCTTTAATTTGCTGCCTTAACAAGGTGGGCAATGCACTCCACGCAATAATGAAAACACCAGCAGATTTGTAAAGCTCCAGAGTCCTTAAGGCTCTTGACCCAGGAAAACTCAAGACTCCAACTGGACTGAGCCGTGAGCTGTGCCTCAGCATCGGGGAGGGGCAGACCCATGACAACAGCTCCGCAGGTCTCCAGCCCACGCCCTGTATTCCCTAGAAGCTGTATCTGCCCAAAGAGATTTCTAGAGAGCTCTGAGTCATCCTCCAGCCACAAGTCCTTTCAGGTTTTCTGGAGAGTTAGATTTAGGGGTGGAGTGACAGGAGGGAGGAAGAAAACAGGCAAAATAGACGAGGTGGGAAGAGAAAACATACTGCATAAATAACGAAGCAGAACCATTAACTGTGACTGATGGATTGCCTGGAATAGTGTTCTTTAAAATACCCTTAATTAAACAGGATTTCAAACTGTTTACATGTGGTGGAGTTCTGTGGTGGGAGTGTAAACACTGTTGTTCAAAGAAACGCGTTCTATGGGGGCACCAAAACCCAAGGGAGACATGCTACCTTGGGATCCCCAAAGGTATTTCAATACTAATTAGGTGCCCATTTTGGCATTGTGGTTACCAGCTTAAGCTTCAGAGACAGACAGGTCTGGGTTCAAATCCTGATCTGCTCTGTGGCTTTGGGCCAATCACTGAGAGTCATTTTCCTCGGCTATAAAATGGGAATAATAACAGAGCCTCCTTCATGGTATTGTTCTGAAAATCAAACGAGATTAAATGCTTGTAAAGCACTTAACTCAGTACAGCATAAACATTGCATGAATGTTAGCTGCTCTGATTGTTATCATTGTGAAATTCCACAAACAGAAGTACCAAAAAAAATATTGACCACATGGCTCACTGCGAACACCAAGAGACCATAGGAATTAAGCTGTATTTCTTTTGGTGATTTTGGTTCAACTCTTCTACTTGTGAAAAGGTCATCTGCTCCAGTTCTCCCTCCCTCTGGACCCTCTTTCCTCCCTCCCCACTACTCAGCATGAAACGGGAGAAGGGGAGAGTTGAAGGATTCTGGCTGACCAAGAGCAGAGGTTGAAACAAAATCTCTTCTTATTTCTTTTGTTTTCCCTCCTCAAGCCTTCATTTGGCCCAGATCCAGTCTGCCGATAAAAATAACAGCATTTGTTCTTACCACAGAGGGACAACAAGGCCACCAAGAAATACCCCCCTTAACCAGGGATGAGCAGGGTCTGAGCTCAGTTCCTCGCCATGGCACTGACCTGGGGGCAGTTCTGGTCTTTACATTCAGCTTGAGCAATAGAGACACAGTACTACCTGGCCCCTGCCCAAGAAGTAGTTAGTGACCCAAGTTTAACCAACAGGAATGAAATGAGGGTGGGGGTGGTGTGATAAAAATCAGAATCCTAACAGTCTCCATCTGCCATATTGTCTATCTAGCATCCCTTTCCACTTTTTGTAACAACCTCTGAGTTATCTTCTGGGGAACACCTTTTCCCACTCTCAGTCCCTGTGATTTGATAAAGTTAAATCTGCTCCCTTAGCTTCAAGAGTAGGCATGTGAATCAGGCTGGGTCAACAGAATAGTCTCTCTCCTGGACAAAATAATTGGCTCAGGGATAGACATGTGACCCAAGTCAAGCCAATGAGAGTCTTCCCAGAGAATTTTGCTAGAATTATCAGGAAGTGGGCTCCTCTCTTATCATGGAAGCAGCCAGATTCCATCTTTGTTGCCATATGGAGATAGCCCACCTGAGAATAAGGCCAACAAAGAAGAAAATAGGGTTTTCTGGTATAATAATGGAGTTAAGACAGACCTAAAGTCAAATCCTTGTTGTGCTCCTCTGTCCATAGGCAAGTGCCTTAACATCTTTGAGCCTCAGTTTTCTCACCTATAAATGAAGATACTATAAGTACCTATCTCGATGGTTTAATCCATTGAGATAATCTATTCACCATTCAATACATGTTTACTGAGCACCTATTATAGGCCAGACCCTGCTTTAAACACTGGGGATACAAGTGGTGAACAAAACAGACAATATCTCTACCCTCATAAAGTTTGTGTTCTAATGGGAGAGATAGATGATAAAAACGGACTTATAATGTCAGATAGTGCTACAAAGAAAGGAAAAGTAGGGTAAGGGGCAAAGGAGGGGCCCTATAATCACTAGAAAAGGACATCATGTTTGATAAAGTAGAGAGTCAGTGAAAACAACGGAAATCTTCAATGAGATGGATTGACACAATAGCCACAACAATGGATTCCAACATACCAATGATCATGAAGATGGCGCAGGACCGGGCACCGTTTCGTTCTGTTTTACACAAGGTCACGAAGAGTCGGAGCCTACTCAACAGCAACTAACAACCACGACAGTTAAAGAAGGCCTTTCTGAGAAAGTAATATTTGAGCTGACACCTGAAGAAGGTGAAATATGAGACTTCCACCTACCTGGCAAAGCCTGTTCAAGCAGGGAAATAGCAAACGTAAAGTCTCTAGGCAGGAGCCTGTTCCATTAGTGTTAGTTACTAGTTACTTCTACTTCTAGATCAGGAGGGCCCAGGACTGGCTCACATAACCCTCTCTTGTCCTCCTATCCTGACACACACAGTCCTCGCAGAGAGCAGCGTTCAAGAAATACACAGTGTGGGGGAAGGGAGATCTGATGAAAATTAATTCTGACCAAGTCTGTGGTCACCTCCCTTAGGTCTGCCATGCTCAAATCGGGGGGGGTGGGGGGAGGCGGGGGCAGGAAGCAGCATCAAATCAGGAAAGGGAGGATTTGAAACCTCCTAACACCCTCCACCCACTCTCCTGAGCATCACAACCAGGGAAGAAGTAAATTGGGCCATTCCCACCTCCACTCAGTACCCAAAGGACGCTGATTGCATATTAAACAGAAACTTCAGCCACAAGTATGTACATTCAGCTCTTTTGTTTTGCTTTTTCTCAGTTCAAAGGAAACAGTTTCCTGAAGCTGGGGGAGATCCAGCTCTTCTAGCCACAGGGGAAGAAGAAAGAACCTTCCATCTGCCCCTGTTGCACATACAGATAATACCTCAGCCACGGAGCCCTCCCACCTCACCCTTCATTTGGACTAGATCATCTCAAGAGGCAAGAATCCAATACCCACCCACCCCTACTCATTGCTTCAACATCCCCACACACACCCTGGAGGAGACTGGGGGAGTGTGAGGTGGGCTCCCCAGCCAGCCTCCTGGAGGTGAGTCCCAGCCAAACCTTCAGGGACCCCACCTGGTGAACTCTGCCTTGGGTCTGACCTATTTTGGAGGAGAGAAAATAGAATATAGATTTAAATGCAGTGGTGCTCTGGAAAACTACAGGCCCAGCAGTGTGCGAAAATAAAACAGCAGGAGGGAGCTGAGGAAGTGCTGGCACAGGTTAGGATGCCATGTCCCCTAGATCC